TTTGGGGGGGGGGGGTTTCTGCTGGGCTACGGATTTTAATGTGCCAGGGTGCTGGCACGTCCTCGCCGATGACGCCAGCTCTGGGCTGGACGGGTATCTCTCTCTCCTCTCATCTTCTCTCTGTCTTGCTCTTTTCTTTAGGGAATGTGAGTCATGTCATTCTTCGTGTCATTCAAAATTCACTATGCCTGGTGCACCATTTTCTGACACAACACCAGCGACACCACACATTCACTTCTGAAGAGCCTGAAAGAAGCTCTGTGTCTAACGCTCACCCTGGTGTCGCCATCAGCATCGCTCCGTCACCTTCAATACCCCGAAACCAGGGAAGCCGCGGCTCAAAGAACTCCGGGCATATGCTAAGTTTTAAATGTAGTGCGACTATAAAGACATCGCTCACGTCTACTCAAGAGTCAGTCCTTGCCCGGCCGGGCGTGGCTCAGCGGTTGAGGGTCGGCCTAGGATCCAGGAGATCAGGGTTCGATTCCCGGTCAGGGCACAGGCCCAGGTTGTGGGCTTGATTCCCAGTTGGGGGCGTGCAGGAGGCAGCCAATCAATGACTCTCATCATTGATGTTTCTCTCTCTCCCTCCCTCTCCCTTCCTCTCTCTGAAATCAATAAAGATATATTTAAAAAAAAAAAAAAAGTCAGTCCATACTGGTGGTAATTATACTCTCAGGAGACAGATTTCTTTTCACCTGAAGACACTGCTATGCTTTTTGTCTGTTAGTTGACTGGTAGATAAAGTGACATAATGTGATGTGCACATGAATGAACACTATCAACAATTACAAACTAAACTTTAAAGTCAACTGCCATTCTCAAAAGCCTGTGCCCAAGATTACAAATCAGTGAGACTGCGGGTGACTTTTCTAAGTCCAGCACCACTGCTATGAATTCATGCTAACAGTGAGTGAGAAAATAGATTTGAGAACAACTAGCCAAGTGTTGAGAGTGGAGTACAAATAATTTAACCAAAGGGGCCTTTGTTTTCTTTTTTTTTTTTTTACAAAATTAAAAGTTGGCTCAGAGCATGTGCCATGGTGCTCAATAAATTTCTCAAATACCTTTGTATTTCAAAAGACTTTATTTTATACTCCCAACATTTTATTTCGGTTTAATAAATAATAGTAAAAACTTAATCAAATTCGTCAAAAATTTTCTCCACCAAATATCACACCTATTTGTAATTTGGGGCATACATTTTTTAAAATACCAGTTGAATTTAAGATTCAGTTTGTATGAGATATTCCATTCCCAACCCAAGAAGACTGTGGTCTAAGTATCTATTATGAATAAGTAAAATAATAAATTTCACAGTAAAAGTTTTTATATTCCTCTTCTTAAAAAATAGATTTTCTCAAACAGTTGAACACTACCTTTAAAAGTTATAAGTATATTAATAAAAAAGCATTAACTTATTCATTTCACCATTTCAACACCTAGAAACAGGATGCCAGGAAGTTACTGTTGCCCCACTTGACCAAGGAGGAGTCTGAAAGCCAACGATCACCAATACCTATGACCATAATATAAAATAACATAAAAAGGTGTTTTAGACACATGTTCCAAATACTTGGTTCCCAAACGCTTGACCCACTAACTCTAATTCAGCGAAAGAAACGAAGCACACTTGCTAATGCTGCTGCATCAAGATAATGAAGTATGAAGCTGGTGCTTGGCTTTGTCTAAAAAAATTGTGACTGACCAAAAAGGCCGGAGGGTGCTCTGAGACACCACCACAATGAGGAGTTCATTCTTCACGAGCTGCTATTGCCGTGAAAGGGACCAGCACTTACAGCAATTTCCACAGGGCAGACAAGCCAAAGAAAGGCCAGTTTACCAAACTCCGCGCGGCTCTGCCGCGGTGCCCACCCACTTCTGAAAGGGCCGCCTGGCAAATGTGCACAAACAGCGGAGAGGGGGCATCACACGAGCGACAGGAGCAGCGCAGCCCACGAGGGCCAGTCTGCCAAGGGAGCATTTCTACGAAGTGGTCACGCTGCAAGGACGTGTTCAACGCTTCCTGCTGCAAGTGATGAAGAGGCCACTTCCGATCTTTTATTACGGTCGCTTATGAATACCTATGTCTTCTTCAAGAGGGAAGCATCTTCAGGGGGCACTCCTGTCTGCCTCACCCTTGTGGTCGCACAGCAATGAAATGTATAAATGACATGCAGGCGTCGGATAGTGAGAGCAGAGTGACCCTGGCATAAAATAAGCTTTATCTAAGATTCCGCTGCACAGGTCTGGGGAGGGTGACCACTGGGACCTCCTGGAATCTCCCCGATGGAGATGGGTTCCCTTTCCTTCTAAATGGCTTTGTATGAAATCTCCTATAAGTTTTGTTTTTAAATCCTTTCCTTAGTTTGCTTTTCTAGAGGGGGATTTAAATGAACAAACTACACTAGCTGATCGAGGTCATTCCCTTTACCACGTGCCTTACAGAGGCAAGAACTATGAAAAATGGTTAAAATTCCAAAGGGCAATAATAAAAAGTAGTAATTTCCTGAGACGTGCACAGCTCAAGTGAGTACGGAGGTTCATGAAGAGTAAGTTTGACAAACACTGTTTTCCTTTTTTTAGATAAGGTACCTAGTCCAGTGTCACAGAAATGTGCAGACAATACAGGGATCAGCAACAAGGCGTCAGACAAGGCATCACAGGATGTTCTTGAGAGACGCACGGAGAGAGGGGTGCGCCGACAGAGCAAAGGGTCTGGCGCACTGGAGGATGTTCACGGCAGCAAGCCCCAGGCACTTCTATCAACGACTTCCCAAACTGAACCCAGAAACCCAAACTGATGAGAGGTCTGAAAGTAGAGACAAACTTTTTTCACACTCGTTTTCTGAGAATAGAAAAGTCAGAAGGAAAAAAAATCTATTTAAAAATACTGGCGAACTAGAACTTGTGTGAAAGACCTGAAAGGCGAGGGAAGCCCACAGTCATGATCCAGGCTGAGCACAGTTTTTCCTTTTGAGACAGAGAGTGAGAGCCTGATCTCAGGGAGATACACGCAGTCCGGTCCATGGAGCAGAAGCTTGGGAGAGGCTTGGAGTTCAGCCTCCGTCCAGCAGAAGGCGCCCTCACAAAACACCCAAGGAGTTCAACCAGGACTTTGAAGAGCTCTGCGCTAAGAGAAAGGGTAACCTGGGAACAGACCCACTCTTCAAGAAGAGATGAAACTCAGATTTCAAATACACACCCTGACTGAATTAAAATTGTATGTCCCAGGCCTAACTTTCTACGAAAAGCAAAACTAAATTCTCTTTAAAGGATTACAAGATCATCCTGAACCTCAAATCGTCTTTATACTTTTCCATACATAATATATGGCTCTTAATAAAAAGTAAGCAGTTGTAAGTGGTCAAACATTGACCCCAAACCAAAACCATTCTTCAGACCATATTGAAGAATCCAACATATAGGAAATCTAGGTTTTATACTAATCAAGACATGGAATTTAAAAAGTAACTGTTATTATTTTGTTCAAAAAATTATATATTAGTGTTCAGAATTTGGGCAAGTATAAAAAACAATCAAATAGAAATTTCAGAACTGAAAAATAGGTAGTGCAATGACGCTGAAACCAGTAATAAAAGACTATTCCCAACTATTTAAAAGCTAAGTATACTTCAATCAAAAAAAAGTTACAAAAGTTAGAAAATATTTTGAACTGATGGATAATAAAAATACAAAATTCAAAACCTGTGAGTTGCAGGCAAAAGCCACGTGCAGAAAGTAATCTAGAGCTCTAAGAGCAGATATTATAAAGTAAGAAAGCCCCAAAGCATTTCACGTATTTGCTAAAGTTGAAGCTATAAATATTTTTTGACAAAGCAATTTCATTCCTAGTGCATAACTCAGAAAAATGTGTACATATGTGTCCCAAAAGACATGAATAATAGACATGTACATTAAGGCATCATTTTTAATTACCAGAAATTGGAAAAAGCTGCAATGTACATCATTATAGAAGTACATCAGTAAAAGAATTTATGGTATGTATCCAAAAGTGGTGAAAATGTTGAGCAAAAGAAGCCATCAAATAATACACGTGGTAGATTCCAGTTTTACAAAGTCAGAGCAGGCAAGAAACTAACCTACAGTGCTGCTGAGGCCAGCGTTTCCTCTGGAGAGTGTAATGACCACGAGGGGATACACTGGGGACTTGCGGGGTCATGGTAATAATTTATTTCATGGCACAGGCAATGGTTACATGAATTTATGTACTTGGTGAACAGTCTTTACAGCTCTAAAAATCAAAGATAAACAAGCTCTGGCCTCAACAGCAGTTTTGTCAAAAAGATTGAGGGTAAAGATCAGGAAACAACCCATGAGAAAGTGTGATAGACTAGTCAAGGTCTAGGTAAAGATCAGGAAACAACCCATGAGAAAGTGTGAGAGACTAGTCAAGGTCTAGGTAAAGATCAGGAAACAACCCATGAGAAAGTGTGAGAAACTAGTTAAGTTCTAGAAAGGAATGACTGGTGACAGGAATCTGGGCATCTTTAAATACTGGGCCATCTGATGAAAGAGCAATTGGGTCCAACTCTGGAAGTCATTTTAGTACTGTAAGGGAAAGTTAAGCTATCAAACCTCGGGTTTTGATTCCATATACTAATCGCAATAATAAAACTGCCCAATAACAGAACACACTTGGTCTCAATACTGAGGACAATGTCAATCACAGAATAAGTTCTAACAAAGGCAGAAACACCACCCATCAGAATAAGCGGAGGGAGCTGCTACATAGAATGGACGTGGCAGGCGACCACTCATGCCCCTTGTCCACCTTCAGAGTCTACACACATGTTCAATGGAGAGCCACGATAAAAACAACTTACCCTTAATCGCGTAGTGGAGATCTCGGCTTTTAAAATATCAGGATCATATTTAGTACTAGATGAAGATCCTGAGAACACTTTCAAAGAGAAAAGAGAAAAACAAGTTGCATAACTAGTTCTCAGCTGAGAATTCACAAACTCCAAAAACAACAAGATTCACATGCTTCTGTGATACTTACTTACTTTATCATTTCTTTATTGTCATTCATCAGACACCTAAATATAAAAAGTAATCTTCAAACCTTCATAATTTAAAAAAACTCAAGAAAGACAAATGTCATAAAGACCAGGGTACTTCATTTTCTTCCGGATTCTATACCAGTGCATAAAATCGTCAAGGTCCTCATGGCAGATATAGTTTATCAGAGTTTTTGGCATTATCCAGAAACTGACCATTTCAGTGGGACATCTGAGCCCATCGTGCTGCTCTTTAAACAAGCCAGCCCCAGATGACCAGTTTTGGAGACAAGAGAGAGCTAAGTCAACTCAGTGGTCAACAGAAGCGTCACTCTAGCTAACGGTTCCAGTTCCTCCCCACCAGGAAGAGTGTACAAGAGTGGCCACAGGGCCGAATTACTCGCCTTGGTCTGAAAGGGTAAAATTTGACTCATAACTAAAGAAAAGGCAAAGAGGAAGAGGGAGGGGCAAAGACAGAAGGGATACAGAATCCCCAGGGAGGATACGCGATCGGGAATGAGGTCAAGGGGATTTACTGGGAAGTCTGGGGTGCCCTCCCCAATCTTCCTGCCGAGGAAGGAACAGGCCCCAAATGAAACTCCACAGAAACCCAGGGGCCACATGTCATCTACAGTTTGGTCCCCATGTTTGCAGTGAACAGCCACACTGACTTACAGCTTGTGTGAGAGCTGGACTTCTCCTTATAGGCATCGTTCAATCGCACGTATTCATCGAGGGCCAGCGCCAGCCTCTGCTCCTTCACGTGGTACAGCTCCTTCTGCGTCCTGAGGGCATCCTGAGCCACCGAGAGATAGTCCTTAAGCATCTTCTCCTGCTCGCCCCGCCATTGCTTTCTCGGGTCTTCAATCTGGGTGGTTTCTGAAAATACATTCGGTGGGTTCTTTTTTAGGATCTAATTATGCTCTTTTAATTATTATTATTTAAGCTTTAAAAAAAGTAGCTAGCTTTAATTCTTACATCCCTAAGTAATTTATTAGTATGTGGGAAGTGACTTCTCCAGGAATTGGACAGTTTTTGGTTTATTTAGCCCAAACCTCCCCACCCTCCTCCCCTTCCAGGTCCTTGTCAACTATTTATTCCCCTTGTGAATCCATCAGATGCAACTGTCGAAGCAAAAACGTCCACAGCTGAGATCTGGTCCTTCTTCTCTAGAGTTTCCCGGCTCCCCAGTCCCCATAGACAGGCCCAGGGTGACTAAGGAAGTGGCCTGGGTCAGCCAGACCCAGCTGCCTCAGGCCCGGGCCCTGCTTCCCCATCACTGGGAAATAAAAGGGGAACTCTCTCTACAGTGGTATGTATTTTGAACACTAATCTTTAAAGATGTAAATATTTCAATATGCAAAGGAAGACTATCTCATTAGCTGTGGGGGGAAATATGCTGGCGTCGAGGTCTAAAGAAGAGATCTGGAGGGACAGCCCCGAGTGGACGGCCCCTCCCGCCAAGAATCTTCAAGGACCTCATCACCATGGGGCAGCCCAGCCACGTGTGAGATGGAGACCTGGCCGGGACCAGCCGATAAGAGCCTAAACATCTCTCTTTTAAATATTCATTACAACTCTGATCTCTGGCTATCGGAACATGTAATATTTATATTCCCTTCCAATGTTTATATGTATGAATGCAACCTGGCTCAAAGCAGACTCAGCCTCTAACAAATATAACTTTGTGGTCTTCAGAAAGTTTCCTAACTGGGGATGGCACACAGTAACGCTCCCCTCCCAGTGCTCATACCCTTGAACACGGGCCAGACTTTGTGGCTTGTTTCTAAGGGACACAACAGAGACCAAGGGATGGGACGCCACCTGAGACCAGGCTACAGAGGCCACGGCTGCCATCGTGCTCTCGCTCTCTGCCCCTGCTCTTGGCTTTTCTGCTCTGATGAAGCAAACTGCCGTCCTGTGGAGAGGCCCGCGTGGCAGGGAATGAGGGGCCACTGGCCAGCAGCCACGAAGGAAGGGAATCCTGCCAACAGCAGCAGGGGAGCTGGGAGCCTCGCTGTGGATGTCCCCAAGCCAGGGGCTCCAGCTAGGTCCTGCTTGGATCCATGACCCACAGAAACCATGAGATAATAAGTGTATTTTAAGACACTAAGTTCTGGGATAATTTGTTACATTAAGATATATAACTAATAACTGAACCAGATGAAGAGATAAATTGAAAGTATGTGATGAACTTGCAATGTTTATAAGTTATAATAGTTACGCTAAGATTTGCACATCCAGTTCCCTCTCAGTATCTTCAGAGGCTTTATCTAATCTTATTTCCCTACATACTGGGAACTGGGATACTTTCTATAAAACACCTGTCAACAGCTAAGCTGCTACAAAACACTGCCTGACAGTTCAATGAATGACATAAAATACTACTACTACTACTAACAACAAGCCATCAGCACTGGTTTGGGACAGATCAGCAGAAACACTCAGGAGACTGAGTGGCTTAAACACGGTGCATGAAGGAGGCTCAGCAGGAAACGGTCCCATTTCTGAAACATGCACGACCACAGAAGAGCGCTCCCACAGGGCCCTCAGGAGGCTCCATAAGGCAGGCTGGCCTCGTCTCCATCAGCTGTATTTGCTGAGTACGTTTATGAAGTTTATTAAATGTAAATATTCCAAAAAAGTCTATTATACAAATGCGGTATTTTTTTGTTATTAAGACCTTGGGCAGCCTTGGGAGATCACTGTATTACATGCAATGAAATGTGCACGTTGTCTACTGTATGAAAGAAGCAATAACTTAATCTCAACACCACGTACCTCAAGGAACCCACATTCCATCAGTTGTACGGATGTGAAACTTTGCAGACAGAGAACACACTGTGGGTTACAGAGCTGGTGGTGGAGACAGTGTTAGACTCTTCAGAGGAGTATCATTTGGGTGTATTGTGCGTATTTCTGTTCCCTCCGCTGTGCTCAGGAAGAATGAATGAAGGGAACAGGAGCAACTCTCTTTGTCTCAGAACGGTCTGCCATGTCTATCTATCTGTTCCTTACTGCTACAGACAACTACTGACCACCCGCCCCACGCCACAGGGGAACCAGGACATCAGGCAGGACCCCTCCTTCCTAGAACTTACATTACACAGAGGAAATTGTGACACGAGTTTAAAAAACACAATAATAATTAACACATACAGTAGAAAGTACGAGCCATGAGAGGAGCCCGGGTAAATGCCATGGCAGCTCCAAGGCACAGGGATGCCCTCTGGCTGGGCGAGGGAGGTCCCACGGATGGGCAGTGATTAAGCGGGGCTGTGAACGGTCCCAGACAAGCGCCCCGTCGGGGCCCAGCCCGCTTACCTGTCCGGCCCTCCTCGCCCACCCCTCCCCACCCCTCCCCACCAGCTGCAGACTCTCTTCTGTCACCAAGCCCTGCTTTCTGCGGCCTCTCCAGGCCTTTCACTTTACTGTGGGGGTTTCTCCTTTTGCCAACCCCAGACCCCACCCATCCCCGTGCTCGAGAGGCCTGGCTCACTCGTTCTGGGGTACCGGCTGACAGCCCCTTCCCGAGGCAGCCCAGCCTCACCCTTCGGAATGGACAGGGTGCTTCTCCCTGCCTGTGTGCCGCTAGTGCGATGGTGGTTCGCTCCGCGTTCCAAGGTGCTTTTCATTTCCCCCAATCCTCCAAAAGGGACTAGTCTAGGGTTTCTTTTTTTAAATTTTATTGTTGACAGTACTCCAGATGTCCCCCATTTTCCCCAGCTTTGCCCCCCTCCACCCAGTCCGCACCCAGGTCTTCACCACACTACAGTCTGTGTCTGTGGGCTACGCATATATGCATGTAAGTTCTTTGGTTAATCTCTTCCCGTCCCCTCCAACTCTTCCCATCCCTTCCACCCCTCTCCCCTCTGGGATCTGTCAGTCTGTTCCATGCCTCTGGACCTATTTTGATCGTCAGTTTATTTTGTTCTTTAGATTCCGCATATGAGTGAGATCATGAGATATATGTCTTTCTCTGACTGGCTTATTTCACTTAACACAATACTCTCCAGGTCCATCCATGCTGTTGCAAAAGGTAAGAGGGCCTTCTTTTTTACAGCTGCATAGTATTCCATTGTGTAAATGTACCACAGTTTTTTAATCCATTTGTATCTATTGATGGGCACTTGGGCTGTTTCCAGAGCTTAGTTATTATAAATTGCGCTGCTATGAACATAGGGGTGCATAAGTTCTTTCTGATTAGTGTTTCGGGATTCTTAGGTTATATTCCTAGACGTGGGATCACTGAGCCAAACAGTGGTTCCATTTTTAATTTTTTGAGGAACCTCCATACAGTTTTCCACAGTGGCTGCACAGTCTGCACTCCCACCAGCAGTGTACTAGGTTCCCCTTTCTCCACACCCTCGCCAGCACTTGTTTGTTGATTTGCTGATGTAGCCATTCTGACAGGTGTGAAGTGATACCTCACTGTGGTTTTAATTTTCATCTCTCTGATGATTAGCAACGCTGAGCATTTTTTCATATGTCTGTTGGCCATCTGTATGTCGTCTTTGGAGAAGGGTCTATTTAGGTCCTTTGCCCATTTTTTAATTGGATTGTTTGTCTTCCTGGTGTTGAGAAGTATGAGTTCTTGTCAGAGGCTGGAAGGGGAGGGGTTGTAACAAGACAGAGCTTCATGCTTCCCAGAGTAGCCCGGGGATCAAGCCTCAATCCCACACCCCATGGAAGGCAGCCTGTCCCAGGATCCTCTCCTCCCCGCTCTGTCCCAAAACAGAGGCGGTCGTGGGATGTATTCAGGGGCGTGGCAGGGCTAGGCCTGTCTTTCTAGCGAGAACACTAGGAAAAGAGGCTGCGGGAAGCAGAGAGGATGGGGGGGCAGAGAGGAGAGCTCAGGAAGCGTCTCAGTGTGCTGCCCATTTTTAAATTGGGTTGTCCTTTCAATGCTGATTTTCAGGAATTAGTCATATGCTCTGGATAAGGGGCCTTTGACAGTATGTGTACGGTAAATATTCATCCATGATACTGTATTCAGTAGTATATTCTTTTAAGTATGTCGCATGAAGACTCTATTCACAAAATAGCACACACTCCATTTATATGAAGTTGTAAACCAGGTAAAACTAAGCTGTGATGACAGAAATTAGAACAGTTTGCAACATTGGGAGGGGGTGATGGGAAAGGGGCAGGAAAGAACGTACTGGGGTTGTGAGCATATTCCATGTCTTAACTAGAATGGCATTTCTCAAATTTCACTGAAATACACACTTAAAATCTGTGCATTTTCTTATATGTAAATGAGACCTCAATTACCAGAGAAAAGACAAAAAAAAGTAGGGTATAATTCTGACCTGATCAAAAAGTTATTTACTTCTGGTTTTAGTAATAAAATCAAAACCTTATAAACACTACTTCATAATTATCTTCTGGTCAGCTAACATCCCCCACCAGTATCTACACCCCCACTTTACACTTACACACACACACACACACACACACACACACCCCCAAAGGTAAATTCCACCATAAAACACGTAAGGCCTATTATAACTACTATCATTGTCAAGGTCAAATCTTTTACTTCTAGATATTTAATAGTGTTATACAGAAACAGTATTAAACAGCCAAACATTCTTCATTTCATTTTTTACTAAAATAAAGAGAAAATAGTGCTGAAACTAAACAATGTCAAGACACAACATATGTGTGGACCAGCTGTTAGGAGAAGATAACACCATTTGCTCACTAACCTGCTTCCCGGGACTGTCTTGAAGATTAATGAGACAATGGAGCAGATCTTTTTAGTGGGAGAACTACTGGCTGGGGGTAACCTGGGCGCTTCAGGGCACGGTAAATCCGTCAGGCCGCTGGGAGGCCATTACTGCACTAAAGCAAACTGGTAGACCCAAAAATTTATATTCTGATCATTAAGACTTTAAATATTCAGACTGGTGCTTTCTGAAGCATAACTTATACTTGAAATGCACTTTAATTTCTCCAAAAACAAACAGGAAGCTTTTAATCTGTGAGTGAAACGATAAAGCTCTTCCTTCCTTCTCACATTTAAGAGTTTATCATTACCCTCGGTACCAAGGATAAAGAAATCCAACTGTGGTCCCTGGCCTTGAGACGCTCACGCAATTTAGTGAGAGAAACACGCAAATAGGTCATCTAAATGAACATGACAAGTGATTTTTGAACATCCTTAAGTACCTGGTGCACGGGGACAGGGCACCTAATTCCGAATGGGGGCGGGGACCTGCATGGTGGAGGGCTGGGATAAGAGG